AATGGCCCTTGGTCACATAACTTCATATTTCACAAATGGCCCTTGGTCACATAACTTCATATTTCACAAATGGCCCTTGGTCACATAACTTCATATTTCACAAATGGCCCTTGGTCACATAACTTCATATTTCACAAATGGCCCTTGGTCACATAACTTCATATTTCACAAATGGCCCTTGGTCACATAACTTCATATTTCACAAATGGCCCTTGGTCACATAACTTCATATTTCACAAATGGCCCTTGGCCACATAGATTCATAATTCACAAATGGCCCTTGGTCACATAACTTCATATTTCACAAATGGCCCTTGGTCACATAACTTCATATTTCACAAATGGCCCTTGGTCACATAACTTCATATTTCACAAATGGCCCTTGGTCACATAACTTCATATTTCACAAATGGCCCTTGGTCACATAACTTCATATTTCACAAATGGCCCTTGGTCACATAACTTCATATTTCACAAATGGCCCTTGGTCACATAACTTCATATTTCACAAATGGCCCTTGGCCACATAGATTCATAATTCACAAATGGCCCTTGGTCACATAACTTCATATTTCACAAATGGCCCTTGGCCACATAGATTCATAATTCACAAATGGCCCTTGGTCACATAACTTCATATTTCACAAATGGCCCTTGGCCACATAGATTCATAATTCACAAATGGCCCTTGGTCACATAACTTCATATTTCACAAATGGCCCTTGGCCACATAGATTCATAATTCACAAATGGCCCTTGGTCACATAACTTCATATTTCACAAATGGCCCTTGGCCACATAGATTCATAATTCACAAATGGCCCTTGGTCACATAACTTCATATTTCACAAATGGCCCTTGGCCACATAGATTCATAATTCACAAATGGCCCTTGGTCACATAACTTCATATTTCACAAATGGCCCTTGGCCACATAGATTCATAATTCACAAATGGCCCTTGGTCACATAACTTCATATTTCACAAATGGCCCTTGGCCACATAGATTCATAATTCACAAATGGCCCTTGGTCACATAACTTCATATTTCACAAATGGCCCTTGGCCACATAGATTCATAATTCACAAATGGCCCTTGGTCACATAACTTCATATTTCACAAATGGCCCTTGGCCACATAGATTCATAATTCACAAATGGCCCTTGGTCACATAACTTCATATTTCACAAATGGCCCTTGGCCACATAGATTCATAATTCACAAATGGCCCTTGGTCACATAACTTCATATTTCACAAATGGCCCTTGGTCACATAACTTCATATTTCACAAATGGCCCTTGGTCACATAACTTCATATTTCACAAATGGCCCTTGGTCACATAACTTCATATTTCACAAATGGCCCTTGGTCACATAACTTCATATTTCACAAATGGCCCTTGGTCACATAACTTCATATTTCACAAATGGCCCTTGGTCACATAACTTCATATTTCACAAATGGCCCTTGGCCACATAGATTCATAATTCACAAATGGCCCTTGGTCACATAGATTCATAATTCACAAATGGCCCTTGGCCACATAACTTCATATTTCACAAATGGCCCTTGGCCACATAGATTCATAATTCACAAATTCGAGATGCATATTTCACAAATTCTTTTTGATGTTTCCATAATTTCACAATGTTCCTCATATAGCATACACCTTTGACGTTTCCATAATTTCATAATATTTACGTAGCATACATAACATACATGTCAACATAATTCTTATGGCAAAGATCATAACGTCAATGACAATAATCATTAACGGTTAGAAATACATCGAAGTACTACTACTCACAGTGCTACAACGGAGTGCTTGGCCCTCCTGAAGTGTGCCCTGTACACATATATAACTTAGTCATTAGTTCTTTTTCCTTCCTTCGTTATTCTTCACAAGCCTACTATTATCCATCCATTATACCACAATTTCCTCCATCTCAATATATCTATATATAGAAATAGAAGATTACCATTCTTGCAAACACAATATGGAATTTATAATCAATCACCTCGATTTCAAGATAGGAAGGAATTGTACGGACATCTTCCACATTTTTCCAAAAATAAATCATTCTCTTGATTTTAATAACTAAGCAAGCCCACAAGTATTTAGCAAAATAATTTGGGATTAACCCATTTTGGAAAACTCCACATTTTAGGTCACAAAAATCAAAGTCAACATAGTCAATACCATCTCACATAATCACTACAATTCAATATAAGCAACATGATTCAACTCAACATCATTAAATATAATTTAACATGATTCAAGAGGAATTCTTAAATTCCATTTCAACATTCCTTAACCGAGTTTATGTCATCTATATCATTAATAAATTATTTCCTCCAATTTCCTTCTCATTATAACATGATTTACATTGCTCATAACAAAATTCATTCGCAAATTTTAAACATAATTTCCAAGTATCACCAAATTCGAATTAAACTTGTATATACATAATTCAATACCTCAATTTCATTATTCTACTTTCAATTTGGGTTAAATCTTTGGTGTAAATAGAGAGAGAGAGAGAGAGAGAGAGAGAGAGAGAGAGAGAGAGAGAGAGAACCTATTTATATTGCAAATATAAAAATAGGGTGTTTGGGTCCACAAATCTAATAAAAAGTATCTTTTCACACGTTGAGCTTGGACAGATTTCTCGAGCGGTGGATGAAGGATTTTAATATCTCTAACTTCTGCAGAGTAGACCGCTTGAGTTATAAAACCTGCGCTCAAACTACGTAATTTAGCCTAGGTGTAATAAATTATTCTAAGGCATTCCCACCCTTTACTAGTTCGTCCTTACGCCCTAAATTGAAAAATTCCAACTTGGTAAGACATCAAGGAAGTTGAACAAGCTCAAATTTGGAAACACCGACACGTTACATGAAACTCTAGACTCTGAAAGTAAGACAAAAGGCCCAATTACACAAGTTCAAGTTGAGTCCAAGACTTGGGACAACACAATGTTTGATAAATAATTTAATTCCACAAAATCAATAATTTTATTACAAGTTGAATTTCCAGGTCAATGTATCTGCCAGTGGCCTCGTAAAGCACCGCCTAAACTCTTGGTAGCGCCTCATATTTTATAAAATTCATTTTGTTAAATATAAATCATAGACGTTATTGATTTCCATTATCCAGTTAGATTATACATTTGAAGCTGATAATGGCTTTAATTTAGAATAACGATCATGAACAAGATAAATCCCTTCTCATTATTCTTCATTTCAAATATTTGTTGAGATTAACGAAAGGTGATTACATGCATTCATACATTCATAACCCTAAAGTCTAAATCTATAGCATGTAATGAACTAATACAATATTTAGTAAATATTCAATTCAGATGCCCTAATGGCTTAGATATTTTAAGGAAAATGCCCTATTACAACAAAAAAAAGGTTTCAACCCAAATACATAATAGGCCTTAGGGTTTACGAAATAAGCAAAAGAACGAGCTTCAAGCTCCCAAAATCTTCTATGCCATCATATCGACGGAAACACGCCATCCATACCTGAAAGTAGTTTTCTACATAGGGATAAGCATAAATAAATAAGTCTTAAATATGTATATGATCATGAAGGCTAATGAACATGCCATTTCATGATAAAACCATTTTCCAAAACATGAGACTTTTCCAAATGATTATCAATTACTCTCAACTTTCATAATTCAAAAGAGTATTTCACAATTCGAAAACATGGTGAATCCCAACGTATATATCTTCCAGTAGTCTATCTAAAAACTAAAAAAAAAAAAAATCACCCCCACTTTATCGGTTACTAGTCAGAAGGAATTTGGTACCTAAATCACGTAAGTTTTCGATTTTTCGTCAAGAACCTCAATTCAACTTAATCAACAATTCAAAACATTTTATACACTACCTAGATTCATCCACCTTTGTTCAATAATTTCCAATTATCATAACATTTCAATAATCATGACAAACCGAGAAATTGTTCAATGCTCAATGGTAAAGATGCTCAATGCATTAGTTTCCAAATGTTTTAATTTTCCTAAGTCATTGATAAATTCTACAACACAACAATGCAATCCTCCTCCGATTGCCACAAATAGATATCTCTAATTGTATCACAACAAGTATTTATCCCAAAATCTCATCATCATCCTTAATTTCTCAAAAATAGCATCAATTCAACGTTTCCATAAATTTCCAATTCCTAGGGTTCTGAGGAAATTGAGGCTTTTGCCATTTTGAACCAATTTCAATGATTTCATGCTCAATATTAGTTTATAAATGACGAATTTTTGAAAGAGTAAGATTATATACCAAAATCTCAAATTTTGATACAATAACTATACAAAATCTCTTCATTTTTCTCAAACACATAACTAATCAAAATACCACTTAAACTACTCAAATCAAATTTGTAGATGTAAGAGAATCTCTACCTCAAGTTTGGAGATAAGGGAACAGAAGCTCAAAAATTCAAAGTGCTCCAAATGGAAATCGGACTTAGTGAAGTCGAAGCCCTCAACGCGCTCTACAACTTTAATGTTTGAGTTTTTCTCAAACTATAACTCTAGGTGGCTTAGAACTAAGGTTTTGTGTGTTGGATGTAAAAACTCTAGACAGAAAAGAGGGTTTCTGAGAAATAAAAAGAAAATAAAGAGAGAATGAAGAGAGAAAGTGTAAAGCCCCACGTTTTATTAACCGAATATCATTACCAATGCCTTTATTACAGTCCATTTCTATAATAATAAATGTGGAAGCAAGATAAAATAAATAAACAAATGATGTTCTCTCTCATATATATACAATGATTAAACACCCAATACATTGAATTACAACAGTGCCCTTAGTGTCATGACCCGAACTCACCCCTATAAGTTAGGATCATAAACGACCAGTAATCATGAGATTACCTACGACCTCAGACCAAAATTAAATTATATTTAATAATAGGGGGCTAGAAACGGAAGCAGAATAATTAATTTTTGTCCAATGAGCTGTGTATATATGGCATAATAAAAACTTTTCTTATTCGTCTAATAACTCACACCATATTGTTAATATAGACATACGTATCCCAGATCATTCAAAACAGTTTTATCAAAAACCAAGGTTATACATATAGATTTAGTCACACAAGACCACAAAAGAGAACAAAAGGAAAATCAAAAACAAAAGCCTCATCCGTGAGGCGACCTTGGTTGACTCCAAAATCTCGATACTCTTTTCACATTTCCACTAGGGCTGGAGCTGGACATCCCGTTGGTCACCTACATACATATAAATACAGAGTCAACTATTGCCCAGTGAATAATACCAAAGTAAAGAGGTTGTATGAATGAGATTCTCAAATAGGTAGTCCAAACTCATATGTGATGCATATAAAAGCAAAACAACCTCGGGTCTATTCCATTATGCTCAAGGCATATCAAAGGGGCAAAACGACCTTAGATCCAACATTCTTATATTCATATTTATGCATATATTCATATTCATGATCATGATCACATTCGTATTCATATTTAAAATGACCTTTGGTCCAATCAATTCCTTATTCAAAACGACCTTTGGTCGATTTCACAATCATACAAAATGACCTTTGGTCCAATTCATATATAAGATGACCTTTAGTCTATCTTATTAAACATTCCAAACAGCCGTAGACCCAATTCGTATCCGTGTCAAATATAGCAAATGGCCTTGGGCCCATTTCGTATTCATGCATCAGTCACTTTACAGATTCTATTACAAATCAAACAGATAGAATACTCATTCATAGTACAAATTCATAAGTTTAGAAACTTACCACATAGGTATCATTTAGAAAATAATACATACACAAAAATATCTTTACTAAGATATTACACAAAGTGTTTAGATGCTTGATTCGTTCTTGCAATTGACCCTACATAATTCACAACACGTTAGGTCATAATACAATTCAATCTGTTCTTTAGTTTGCTTAATTTTCGTAGGCTTCTTTCTTGTTCTTTAATTCATTTGAAATGCTCAGAAATGAAGGAGAGCAGAAATTGGAACATAAAACAACTTTTCAAAATTTCTTGAAATAAGGCACTTCGCTTGAGCGCAACATTGGTCACTCAAGCAAACCCCTTGGTCTGCAAAAGTACTGGTTGCTTGAATTTTACACTCGAGCGGTGCAACCAAATTTTGGAATTTCCAGATTTCATATTCAAGTTCAAAACACAATCTTAAGGCATCAAAACACATTCTTTTGGGCCAAAACTTAAGAAAACATTTGAAAGTTCAAAACAGGGTTCACTCGAGCGCAAGTTTTGCCGCTTGAGCCACCGTGCAATTGTCTACAAAAATACTGGGAGCTAGAATTTTATGCTCAAGCAACACTTTCTTCACTTGAGTGACCTGCTCGAATTCTGGATTTTTCAGAATTTTGTTTGAGCTTTAAACACACATTCAAGGGTCCAAATTCATGCATGATCCACTCAAATATGCAAGAACATTCTCGATTATATATATTTGAAGCTAACTTTAACTCATGATTCAAAATTTCATGAATTCAACCAAATTCAAACTTTAAACTACATGCAAGCAACACCCATGATTTATATCTTGCATATGTAAGCTTCAAGACCTAAAATTAGACTTCAATACATGATAATTCTTGCATGCATGTGCCAATCAACCCTCAATTCAGCCTGATTAACATACTTTATGCTCAAATATGCAAAAATCATGGCAAACCCTTTCATTCATGCGTCTATTAACTTCAAATTCAACATATTCAACTTAATTCTTGTTCTTAGTCATACATTATGTTTGGATTCACATTATTATGAACTTAAACTTATGAATCAGAGCTCAATCACTTACTTGGAGCCTTCAATTCCTTCAATTTTAGTTAATTCTTGAATCTAGCTCTTGAATTTCCCAAGTTTGAGTTCAGTTCTTCAAGAACAAGCTCCCTCTCTCTCTAATTCTCACTTTCTCTCTCTATGGTGTATAAATTCAGCCAAGTAATGAAAATGAGCTCAATGTCTTAAGCGTAAGCACTAATTATATATATATATATAGTGGTGATTAGCGTAAACTAATCAAACTTGTTTAAAGTTAATCAATTGCACTTAGTTTAATCAATTTAATCTAATTATTTTGATCCAAATCAATTTTTAATTATTCACCATATGCTCTAAAAATTATGCTAATCACAATGGTATAATCAATTTTGATTTTCGTCGCCTCTACAACCCTCAATTCCAAATTATTACAAGAAGTAGAATAGGTTTTCCTACGGTGGACAGATATAAAGTCAAAAACATATTTAATCACACAACTAGCACCCAAAAATCATGTTAAGTACATAATCACAAGTATAATTAAGATTAGCATTATAACACAGAATGGGGTCATCACACTTAGGCTTACAGTGAAGATTATAAATATAAATAAATAAATAAAATAATAGGAATGAACCATCTTTACAACCAAATGGCATTCCGCCTACAAGTAATAGGCCTCGTGGCAAACAACTAAGAAGACTGCTTGGTCTTGAGCAATTCTTCCAACTTCACACTTGAAAAAGAGGTCAACAATATGGAATGAACATTAATGTCCAGTTTAACATTTCAAGAAAAATCATTTCTTATCCTTCAAATTTATCATTAATAATTCAAAGAATTTCTCAACTCCATTTATTTTTTTGAAAACGAGTTCACACGTAACCAATTACATTCTTGCTCTAACCATTAAATCCAAGATAACATTCACGCTATTACCAATTTAAACGTCCATGTTATTATCAAGATTTCACAATCATCTATCCCTATAATGTAACTAGTTGCAATCCCAACATATCACAACACTATCTCAATTACACATTAATAGTCTACCATAACGTCAACATGTACTATCATAATACAATTTGGCTTCCTCAAACCATAACCATCCACATTAGCAAGCACTAGTTGGAAGGAACTTGGAACCTATCATTAGAAAAGCACAAACCACCACAACACAATTTATCAGGAGCTAATTGGGAGGAAACTTGAACCTATCTTAAAGTGTCACGCTTTACCGGTGGATAACTGAAAGGAAAGCGGAATCTCCATATAGCCTAACAGTACACATGCTTTACCAGGCACAAGCCGAAAGAAAAGTGCCATCTCAAGATGCCATACTTTACCAAGGGCTAGCTAAAAGGAAAGCGGAACCTCCATGTAGCCCTTTCATTATCCAGCTCAACACATTCCAACATTAACTTAAACTATGCCAATTAATCAACAACACTAAACACACATAATCTATTCAATAACAATTAATATCATCCTCCACCGATGACCAAAGACAAAACTTCTAAACAATAAATGGTATAAATTCTCACGAATAAGACAATATAGTTCTCATAATGTTTGACAATTTCAATATCATCAACATAATCTAGATATTCATTGTCAACCATAATATTACATAATTCTTATAATTAAATTCCATAAACTTCCAATCCTCTACAATTATAACATAAGTCAAATTCGTGACAACCCTTTATTTTTTCCTCTTCCATTTCACATTTTAATTCACAATAATTAAGATGTCTCAAAGAATATTAAAACTATCAACTTATCTCATTTCTCATAAATATGAAATTGAAAATTAGGGCTTTTTACTTAAATCACCATAATCAAGTTCTATTAGCATAATATTCTCATTATCAACACTAAAACATAACATTTATTTTTTAAACTCAACACCCTAACTCAAATCTAAATGTATTTCAAAAATCTCTTTAGAAGTCATGTTTTTATGCAATAAAAACTATCACATATCTACCTATAATGATATATTGAAAAGAAGCAAAGAAATTCTTACCTCTGGAAGAGAATAGGAAAACCAAGACACCCAATTTCGAACTCACCGAAAATTGATTTCCACTGGTCAAAATGTTGCCCTCGGAATGCTCGTTGATTTGGCCTTAAGAACTAATACCAAAATCTTCTTTGATTTTGTTAGATTGAAGGATTTGTGTAATTTTGACAATAGTCCTGAGAGAGAGAGAGAGAGAGAGAGAGAGAGATAATTTTCAAAAGTGAGTAAAGAGAGAGTGTATAGGCATATATATAGTGAAAGGATAAAAAATAGGTTTGGACCTAGAAATCTGACTCAAAATGACAGCTAAAATGCGCTAAATTCGAATAAACCGCTCAAGCAGTCAAAGCTGGGCTTGAGCAGTGAATGAAGGCTTACAGTATCTCTACTTTCTCGAACTGACCACTTGAGCGGTCAAAAGTGCACTCGAGTGGTGAATTGATACGTGAAGGATCTCAGCCAAATTTGAAATTCAGAGCTTCAAGGGTCTATACACTGCTTGAGCAATCAATCTTGCGCTCAAGTGAACTATGCCCACATCTAAGGTACTCAAATTTCGAACGGGCATAACTCTCTTGTCTGGACTCTGTGTTGGGTCATCCTTGTGTCTAAATTGAAGCCGCAAAAATAAGTTTTCCAATGGTTCTAGCCTCAAATCAAGATTCCAATTGCGGAGGGAGAAAATGGAAAAAGAGTGATGACTACTCAAAGGACGATTATCCGAATCAAGGTTTTTGGTTCAATCCTACTCTACCATCAAGAACCAATCAATACTCTAATGTCAATCAATAAGGTTCTAATTATAATAATAAGAGAGTCAAAAGCAATCTCATTAGCCCAAGGAGCACGAAGTGTTACAAAAAGTGTATAAGAAGAAATATCTAAGGCCTATATATAGTGAGAGCATAAAAAGTGGTTTTGGTTCCAAAAATCTGACTAAAAATGCAATTTCAAGCGCTCTATTTGAACACGCTGCTCAAGTGACCAAAGTTGTGCTTGAGCAATGATTGAAGGCTTGCAAGGTCACAGGTTACTAAAGAATAGACTGCTTAAAGGACAAAAGTTGTGCTCGAGCAAAGAATTGGTGCTTGCAGTATCTCAAGTTTCAGCAAATCAGAGTTGTCCAAGTCTTCAGACCACTAGACCAATTAAAGGTTCACTCGAGTGAACTATAATGACAGCTTTGGTTCTCAAAATTCAAACAACTTTCTCGTCCTTTTTATGCCTAAATTGGAACCCCGAAAGTAAGCTTTTCAATAGTTCTAAGCTCACATCGAGATTCAAAGTGTGGAAGGAGAAAAGGTTAAAAAGTGAAGACTGCTCAAAGGATAATTATCTGAATCAGTATTTTTGGCTCAATCCTACTTTACCATGATGATACCACCTCAATCAATATTCTAAAATGAATCAAAGAGGCTCCAAGTATAATAATAAAAGTGTCAAGAGCAATCCTACTAGTCTTATAGATATATAATGACCATTTAGTCAATACAACAGATATTCAAGCTTATCAAATATTCGGAATGACCTTGTGTCCATCTTATCAAATATATAGAACGACCTCAGGTCCTTTTTGAATATACGAAACGACCTTAGGTTAATCATATACATTCGTATCTCGTCAATCACATTTGCAGATATCATGTTGATCGGATAGATAGAAAGTTCATTTATATCACAAAATCATAAGTTTGGAAAACTTACCACACTGGAAATATTTAGAAAATAACGTATAAAAAAGTATCTGTACTAGGATATTACTCATAATGATTTGGTTGCTGATACGTCTTTGTGGATGAACCTACACAATTCATAAACATACACACATTGGGTCACATTGCTTAATCAGATTATCCTTCACTTATCCAATTCCTTATGTCATATTCTGCCTCATTAGTTTATTCATGTAGCTTACTTCATGCCTAAGAATACTCAGAAAGAAATGAGAATGCAAACATGATTAGAGTATGACTTTTTGAAATATGCTGAAATATGACGGTTCACTCGAGCACACTATTTGTCGCTGAAGCGGTCCACATGGTCTGCAAAAGTACTGGATAGTCTGAATCTAGGCTCAATGGTCGCTCAAGCCAAGGTGCAAAATAAACTAAGGTCGCTTAAGCCATGTGCAATGCCTTTGAAAAAATGCTAGATGTATGAGATGTGCGCTCGAGCGACAACTTCTTCGCTCGAGCGATGCAGTCGAATTCTGGGTTTTCCAGAACATAATTTAAGCTTCAAAACACAAGTTCAATGCCATAAACCCTTGCATGACATGTTCTAAACCATGAATACTCCTTCAAAAACATGAATACAAAACCAATTCCAAACCTCATGCTCAAAACTTCATAATTGGAACTCAAATTCCCATGCATGTACAAATTAGTTTCAAATATTTTTCCCATGACTTTCAAAACATGAATTTGAACCACAAAACACTTAAAATCGTGGATGCATGTATGATTCAAGTCTTAATTCAAGTATAGGTAACAAAATCACGCCCAAAAATGATGAAACTCTACAAAATCATGCATGCATGTATGCTTTAGCTCCCAATTCATCATTTTAAGCTCATTTCTTGTGTTTAAGTTCATTATCTTCTTGAATTCACATGCTAGATGACTCAAATTCTTAAATTAAGGTTCAAACACTTACCTAAAGTCTTCAATTAAGCTCAATATAGGAAACACTTGAGTTCTGCTTCACAATTCTCCAACCTTCAAGCCAAATCTTCCAAGCTCTAGTTCTTCTCTCTCTAAAATGATGAACTCTCACTCTCTCTAAACTCTCCACAGAATTTTGAGCTCAAAAATAAGCTAAACCTCATCACTTAACATATATATACAAGGTGATTAACTTAATACACTAATTAGGGATTAAGCTAATTAATTAGAGCTTAAATCTAACTAAACAAAAATTAACTTAATTGATTTTATCTAATTAATTTAATTTTAATCAAATTTCTCAATAGGTTCTAAAAATTATGTGATCCTAATTAAACTCACCGATTCTGGTTTCGAAAGTCATTAAGACCTTTAATTTTAGATTTTAAGCAGAGATCGCAACAGATATTCAAACAATGAATAGATATGCATTCAAATACACATTAAACACATAAATAACACTCAAAATTAAATAGATAAAAGCATGTTGCGTAATGGGGTTGTCACACTAATATCTGAATCTGATTTTTGGTCCAATCCTACCCAACTGTCATATGACACACCAATCAATGTTCTAACATGTAGGATGAGGTCTCAATTACAATAATAAAAGGTCAAATCTTGGCCCATTAACTCAAAGTGTTCGAAGCACTACAATTTACCACTTTATCGATTGCTAACCGAAAGGAAATTGTTACCTATTTTGCACAGGTTTTTAGTCATTCACCATGGACATTCCTGCCAACTTAATCTCATTTCTATACACTTTTTAGATTCACTGTTTTTATTCAATTCAAATCAATGGGATTGTTAAACCACAATGCAACTACATTCTCAATCATTAAAAAATATTCAACAGCACCGTCATTAATGAACGAGTTTTCTAAATCTCAAAGCTCCAATAATTCAATTTATCAAAATGAGTTTCAATTCATCCTAGGCTGGTGATTTCTACAACCATATCAATCTCTAACACATGCAATAAGATATAATTTGAAGAATCTTATTTTAATTCAAATTCGAGGGACAACATCAATACCATTAAGCCATTTTGGATTTTAGGGTTTGAAAATTGGGGCTTTCTCAAATTAAAGCATCATCATGCTATAAATCTTTTAAAAAATACATTTGAGAAGGAAATTTGTAAGAAATGCTCAATAATGCTCAAACCCTAGATTTCTATAACAGATGTTATTTCTACACACTTGTGATTATTCTAAAACTACAAAACAAAATTAGAATTATACTATTTGCAAATTAAGATTTCAAATATTAAAAAGTACCACATACTAACTGTAGACACTCCATTTTGACTGACCCTAAGACTTCGAGCGCTTGTAGGCCTCTTGATGATGAAATGGTGATACCTTCATCCTTAGAATGTTGAAAATTGATTAAAGTTGTTGTTATACCCTATCTTGGAAAAACTTGACTATTTTGCAAAAAATGCCCAAAATACCCCTGAACCCATTTTTTAGCCAAAAACTAATTTTTTAACCCCGAGAAGTAAGGAGAGCCCGATTGCACTTAGATTGATGGTATTTCCCAAAATTACTGACCGATTTTTATGAAAAACATCGATTTGAGAACAATTGGAGCTCGCTTAGGCAAAAACCATGCAAAATCGCACCTAGCCATGCAAAACTGCACCTAACCTATGAAGTCGATACCTAGACTACTAGCCACATGTGTGTCCGTACGTGCATAGCACAAACACACCTGGATTGTGCGGCCATACTTCCTCTGTGCGGCCGCACCTTCCCCGACAGACAGGAATGAAAACTTTACAAGGATGGCAATGCGGAATTGAGAAGAGGCGCTACAGAGAAAGCATTGCTCAACCCTAACAGCCTCCTCTGGCTTCCTCCCCAAGCTAGGAGTGCCTATAAAAGCACTCATTCCTTTCTTCTTTGGGCGTTCGGACGTATTTGGCTCTAACTCTCTACCTACGAGTCTGAATTACGTTCCGTCAGTTCTCACAAGTCCTATTTGTCATGGCGAAGATATCCGTGTGAGCCACACGGTGGTTCGGGGGCTTTTTTGAATTTTTGCCCCCGAAACGCCCTTTTTCGACTAAGTTTTGGATGTATTTGGCTCTAACTCTCACCTACGGGTCCGAATTACGTTTCATCAGTTCTCACATGTCCTATTTGTCATGGCGAAGCTATCCGTGTGAGCCACATAGTCGTTCTAGGGTTGTTTTGAATTTTCGCCCCCGAAATGCCTTTTTTGACTAAGTTTTGGATGTATTCGGCTCTAACTCCCAACCTACGGGTCTGAATTACATTTCGTCAGTTCTCACAAGTCTTATTTGTCATGGTGAAGCTATCCATGTGAGCCACACAGTCGTTCGGGAGTTGTTTTGAATTTTTGCCCCTGAAACGCCCTTTTTCGACTAAGTTTAGGGCTTTTTCGACTCTAACTCCCAACCTACGGGTCCGGATTACATTCTGTTAGATCTCACAAGTCCTATTTGTCATGGTGAATCTATCCGTGTGAGCCACATAGTCGTTTGGGGGCAGTTTTGAAGTTTTGCCCCTGTAATGCCCTTTTTCGACTAAGTTTTGGACGTATTCGGTTCTAACTCTCTACCTACGGGTCCGAATTATGTTCCGTCAGTTTTCATAAGTCCTATTTGTCATGGCGAAGGTATCTGTGTGAGCCACATACTGGTTCGGGGGCTGTTTTGAATTTTCACCCCCGGATAAGATTTCAAATATTAAAAAGTACCACATACTAACTGTAGACACTCCATTTTGACTGACCCTAAGACTTCGAGCGCTTGTAGGCCTCCTGATGATGAAATGGTGATACCTCCATCCTTAGAATGTTGAAAATTGATTAAAGTTGTTGTTATACCCTATCTTGGAAAAACTTGACTATTTTGCAAAAAATGCCCAAAATACCCCCGAACCCATTTTTCAGCCAAAAACTAATTTTTTAACCTCGAGAAGTAAGGAGAGCCCGATTGCACTTAGATTGATGGTATTTCCCAAAATTACTGACCGATTTTTATGAAAAACATCGATTTGAGAACAATTGGAGCTCGCTTAGGCAAAAACCATGCAAAACCGCACCTAGCCATGCAAAACTGCACCTAACCTATGAAGTCGATACCTAGACTACTGGCTACATGTGTGTCCGCACGTGCATAGCACGGACACACCTGGATTGTGCGGCCATACTTCCTCTGTGCGGCCGCACGTTTCCCGACAGACAGGAATGAAAACTTTACAAGGATGGCAATGCGGAATTGAGAAAAGGCGCTAGAGAAAGCATTGCTCAACCCTAACATCCTCCTCTGGCTTCCTCCCTAAGCTAGGAGTGCCTATAAAAGCACCCATTCCTTTCTTCTTTGGATGCTTAGACGTATTTGGCTCTAACTCTCTACCAACGAGTCCGAATTACATTCCGTCAGTTCTCACAAGTCCTATTTGTCATGGCGAAGCTATCCGTGTGAGCTGCACGGTGGTTCGGGGGCTATTTTGAATTTTTGCCCCCGAAACGCCCTTTTTTGACTAAATTTTGGATGTATTTGGCTCTAACTCTCGACCTACGGGTCTGAATTATGTTTCATCAGCTCTCACATGTCCTATTTGTCATGGCGAAGCTATCCGTGTGAGCCACATAGTCGTTCAGAGGTTGTTTTGAATTTTCGCCCCCGAAATGCCTTTTTTTGACTAAGTTTTGGATGTATTCGGCTCTAACTCCCAACCTACGGGTCTGAATTACATTCTGTCAGTTCTCACAAGTCCTATTTGTCATGGTGAAGCTATCCATGTGAGCCACACGGTCGTTCGGGGGTTGTTTTGAATTTTTGCCCCTGAAACGCCCTTTTTCAACTAAGTTTAGGGCTTTTTCGACTCTAACTCCCAACCTACGAGTCCGGATTACATTCCGTCAGATCTCACAAGTCCTATTTGTCATGGTGAATCTATCCGTGTGAGCCACATAGTCGTTTGGGGGCTGTTTTGAAGTTTCGCCCCCGAAATGCCCTTTTTCGACTAAGTTTTGGACGTATTCGGTTCTAACTCTCTACCTGCGAGTCCGAATTATGTTCCGTCAGTTCTCATAAGTCCTATTTGTCATGGCGAAGCTATCCGTGTGAGCCACATAGTGGTTCAGGGGCTGTTTTGAATTTTCACCCCCGGAACGTCCTTTTTCGACTAAGTTTTGGACGTATTCGGCTCTAACTCCCAACCTAGGGGTCCGAATTACATTCTTTCAGTTCTCACAAGTCCTATTTGTCATGGGGAAGCTATCCGTGTGATCCACATGATTGTTCGGAGGCTGTTTTGAATTTTCACCACCGAAACGCCCTTTTTCGACTAAGTTTAGGACGTATTCGGCTCTAACTCCCAACCTACATGTGCTAATTACATTTCGCCTGTTGTCACAGTTCCTATTTGTGATGGGGAAGGTGGCTGTGATATCTGTATGATGGTTCGTGGGCTGTTTTACATTTTTGTCTCCTTAACGCCATTTTTCGGTTAAGTTTAATGCATTTTCAGCTCTAACTCCCGAACTATGTGTGCTAATAACATTCCGTCTATTGTGACAGGTCCTATTTGTCACGGGGAAGGTGGCCGTGACATCCGTACGATGGTTCGGGAACTGTTTCCCATTTTCGCTCCCTTATCACCCCTTTTCGATTAAATTTAAGGCGTTTTCGGCTCTAACTCCCAACCTACACGTGCTAATTACATTCCATCTATTGTCACAGGTCCTATTTGTCATAGGGAAGGTGGATGTGACATCCGTACGGTGGTTCGCGGGCTATTTCGCATTTTCGCCCCCTCAACGCCCTCTTTCGGTTAAGTTTAATGCATTTTCGGCTCTAATGATATAAACTCAAAATAATTACAAAGAGATGAAAGTACAACCTACTTACACAATTCAAGGCATAAATTGGTTGTATTTTCAATTCTTCCATCTTATTTCATGGCCTTCAAAAAATATGAGACTTTCACCAATAAGAATTTTTAAAAATTTTAAGCAATAGACTAAGTGGTCTAATGATTGAGTCACCTCTAATTTTACATATGTGGAGTTTATCTGTGTAAGAAGGTGCACCTGTTACATATGATAATTTCACTTGCTAATGCCAATATGTATCTTTTCACCGTATTTAAATTATGAATTTAGAGAGTAAATTAAAAATAAAATGGAAATAGAAATGAAAAACAAATATTAAAGGGATGTTGGTGATAATAATTTCGTGTGTTTTGTTTTGTATTCGATTCTATGTCTTTAGACTTCTTGCTAATTTAATGGTAAGTTTCAAGACATAGATCTGACCACATAAGCAACACCATGAAAATAGATGGAACAACAATTTGAGTGAAACTATTTTTGTATGGCTAGAGATCATTGAAATGCTTCAATGTACTGAGAGATCATTGAAATGGTTCAGGGGCTGCTTTGCATTTTCGCCTCGCGAACAGCCTTTTTCAACTAAGTTCAAGCTGTTTTTCACTCCAACTCTCAACCTACGTGTGCTAATTACATCATGTCTATCCCTACAGGTCCTATTTGTCACGGTGAAGCTACCCGTGTCATCCATAGAGTGGTTCAGAGGCTACTTTGCATTTTCACCCCCTGAACAGCCTTTTTCGACTAAGTTTAATGCGTTTTTCACTCCAACTCCCAACCTACATGTGCTAATTACATCCCGTCTATCCCCATAGGTCCTAGTTTTATGAGGAAGCTACCCGTGACATCCATAGAGTGGTTCGGAGGCTACTTTGCATTTTTGCCCCCCGAACGGCCTTATTCGACTAAGTTTAAGGCATTTTTCACTCCAGCTCCCAACCTACGTGTGCTAATTACATCCTGTCTGTCCCCATAGGTTCTATTTGTCATGAGGAAGCTACCCGTGACATCCATAGAGTGGTTCGGGGACTACTTCGCATTTTTGCCCATCGAACGACCTTTTTTGACTAAGTTTAAGGCATTTTTCACTCCAACTCCCAACCTACATGTGCTAATTACATCTTGTCTGTCCCCACAGGTCTTATTTTTCACGAGAAAGCAGCCTGTGACATCAATAGAGTGGTTTGGGAGCTGTTTTGTATTTTCATCTCATGAATGCCTTTTTTCGACTAAGTTTAAGGCATTTTTTACTCTAACTCTCAACCTACGTGTGCTAATTACATGCTGTTTATCTCCACATGTTCTATTTGTCATGAGGAATCTACTTATGACATACATAGAGTGGTTCGAGGGCAGTTTTACATTTTCGCCCCCCAGAATGCCTTATTTCAACTAAGTTTAAGACATTTTCGACTTTAACTCCCAACCTACGTGTGCTAATTACATGTCATCTATCCCTATGGGTTCTATTTTTCATGAGAAAGCTGCCCGTGAAATCCATGGAGTGGTTTGGGGGCTGTTTTGTATTTTCGCCCCCCCGAATGCCTTTTTCCGACTAAGTTTAAGGCATTTTCGACAAAGTAAACTAGTTGTTTTTGCTTTTTTTTCTTAGAACAACTAAAGAAATCTTGGTTTGATTAAATTCAAGTTGTACAAAGCTTTGTTTGTACTTTCAGAAGCTCAAAGTAAAAAAGTAAGCAAAATAAAATAGTAACTATTGTCTGAATTCTGAAAACAAAGCGGAGGAACGTGCCAGCTTGAAGATTGTTTGCTATCTTGTTTTCTATTTTTGTTTACTCTCAATTTCTTATCATTCAGCATTTGCAAAAGGGACAAACATTTTAGGAATTAAGATTAAACAAGAAGTTCAAAAATACTAGAGCTTCATATAAACAAATAGTCTTAAGGGCATTATATAGCATGAAGATAAATTGGGCACAAACATTTTGATGAACAGCAATCAAGATAGTTTAAAGAGAGCTACACATCTGATCATCATGAGCAATTAGCTGAATAAGAATGATGTAATGAGAAGAGGAAGATATAATGATACATAGTACTTTAAGTTCACCGAAATTCAAATGCACTCCAAATTGTTATCAATTCATATGAAATCTTGCAAAAAGAGATATGTGATGTAGAGATTAAACCAAACTCAATGACAAGTACAACAAGAAGAAACAGAGTACTCCAAATTGTTCCACAAAATCCACATACAATCCAAATTGTAATCAAATATCAATTAATATGAAATCTTGCAACAAGATAAATGGGATGCAGAGATAAACCACCTAGGCTTTTTTTTAGTTGAATTTGAAGAAGTTTCAGATGCAACAAATGCCTCTTCCCGTGTCACCCACCTGCCTGTTTCATTTCATGCAAGTAAATATTATATCATAAGAACACATAACCAAGAAGGATATTTTGGGAGGGGCAACAAAAAATGACTCAAAGTAAATCTACAAGAATAATCAAATATGAAACACATCACTACTTTTTAAATGCAATTGGTAGCTTATGAGTTCAGAAACAAAATCATAATTGTGTATCCAAGTGAAATTTCAGAAATATTACTTAATCATTATATTACATAGCTGTAGAATCTTATCATGATCATCATCCTCAGGAGGATGCCCAAAATGCTACACACCATCATCGATTGCTATCAACACTAATAAAGCTATTAAAAAAAATCTAATATTGAATTGAAGAGTTTGTCTAAATTTTATATAGGTTGAAGTTGTATGAAACTACATCAAACAAACCCAATGTAGAAAGCACAAGGAGACAAGAGAGCCTTCTAAAGCAAGAACAAACAGAGGAAAATAATCAATGATAGTAAAACTGCTACATGGTTGGCTAGCGAGTCTGTAATGAAATCATGGTAATAATGCATGCAAAAGAATGACACACTCATCAGGAAAACAAGTAATGAGTCTCTGTCATATACTAATCTTCCAAGAGGTCTGCAAGCACTTTTGCTCAATAAATAATATTTAAAGGAGTCCCATTCATCAAAAGATCCTTGAAATCATCACTATCACAATCCTCAAATTCAAAAGGAATAGGCATTTCACTCAGTTCCCTCTCCCTAACCTAAGGCACAGTTATAAGATATACAAATTTGGAAATAAAGATCATAAAATAATCTAGAAATTTTTCCTAACTGTAAGATTATATTATTTAAATCTTCTCAAATCAGCAGCTATATAACATGTAGTATGCTTATAGGAACAACACACAAATAATGAAAGTTATGAAACCATAAAATCTTGTGAGCAGAAAAGTATCTAACAACCACTAGAATTATTTGATTTGCAAGAAAATTGACGATACAAACCATTCATTGTGAACTTGCTTGGGAAAATCAGGTGGCACATCTCTCCTATGATATTACAGCAGCCAGTTTAAACATATAATACATGTCATAACCTTCCCTTATATATTCTTGGCAGAGAAACCTCATAATTTCTCTCTTCTCAATGACCAAACCAACACCAACTAGGTCAAACAAGGTGCTAACAGCTAACTTTCTTTGTAAATGAGGCAATGACCATTAATTGCAGAAAAACCCCAAAGTCTCAATAACCTACCAAAAATTCCTTGAAAATGTTCAGCAAATGCTTACAAGCCAACAAATAAAAGTGTGAATGCAAGAAAAAAGCAAAATAGTAACAAACAAATCTCAGAAGCCACTGTTGGAAGAAACTTTGCCTAGTTTAGAAGTGCCAGTTGCTGCAGTGCTAGTTTTGCTCATGATTCCCTTCCCAAAATACTGGGCAATCACAGAAAACCCATTTTGGACCCTTTGTAAATGAGGCAATGACCATTAATTGTAGAAAAACCCCAAAGTCTCAATAACCCACCAAAAATTCCTTGAAAATGTTCAGCAAATGCTCGCAAGCCAACAAATAAAAGTGTGAATGCAAGAAAAAAGTAAAATAGTAACAAACAAATCTTAGAAGCCGCTGCTGGAAGAAGCTTTGCCCGGTCTAGGAGTGCCAGTTGCTACAATGCTAGTTTTGTTCATGATTCCCTTCCCAAAATACTGGGCAATCACATAAAACCCATTTTGCACCCTAAATCGAACCCATTTTGGGCACTAAATTAAAAAAAAAAAACCTCTGTCAAACCCAAAAACCCTAAATCAAACCCATTTTGGACATCAAACCCATAATTTTATAGAAATCAAACCACTTCAACCAAACCCATTTAAGAAATCAACACAAAATTAAACTAAAAAAATCATATAAAACCCTAGCAAGTGTAAGAAATTGAGAGATAGAGAAAGAGAGAGACAGAGACCGAGATCAACAGAGAAGGAGAGAGACCGAGTGCGATAGAGAGAGAGAGAGAGAGAGAGAAAAAAAAAACCTGTGATTTGTGGCAGTGGCGGTGGTGATTCGTAGCAATGGTGGTGCGATGTACGACAGTGGCCAGCGACGGTGGGGTGGTGAACGTCAGTGGCGAGCGGGGGTGAGGTTTGGTAGTGACTGTTCTGTGTGTGAGTGAGAGAACAGAGATCTTTTGTTTCTTTCAAAGAAGGGTGTAGGCGCCAATATATTCGCTTCGCTCTAAAAAAAAAATTTGTTTCTACCTTTAGCGACCAAACTTATATTTGTCGCCAAATAATAATCAATACCGACTAAAGTTTTTGTAACCAAAGAGTAATCCAAAAAATAAGCCTACTATTTGGTGACTAAAATTTTTTTTGTCGGCAAATGGTTGTATACAACGGCTAAAATAGGAATTAGTAGCCTAAAATGTAGACCAACGCCGACTAAAATTTGTTTAGTCGCCTATTACATCATATTTAGCGACTAAATTTTTTTTTAGTCGCTAATAACTAATATACGGCTACTAAAAAATTTAGTAGCTAAAATATTAAACATTGCCGACCAATAAAAATTTTAGTCGCCAAAGGTCTAACTTTTGGCGACTAAATTCGTTTTAGTCACTAAATTTGGTCGCCAAAAGTGCAAATTGTTGTAGTGAATTAGTACTAGAGTCTGATTCACAGTCCTATCAATAAAATTGTATGAGTATTAGATACATAGAAGAAGTAAAATTAGATAATTTAAATAATAACAATTCGATATAAATAATAATAGAACAAAATAAAGGTGAGAAATTAAAAAATAAAATAAAAATTCAACCATTAATGAAGTTGAGAAATTAATTTTAAGATTTAATTTAATAAAAATAGTTTAAATGGGAAAAGTAAAGATGGAGAAATATATTTTAAGTATCGTATAACAAATTAATTGAGTATTTTAGTATTCTAAAATAATTTCTCCATTCAAATAAAGATTAGTTTTAATTATAGGCGTAAGAAATGAGAAATTATTTGAATTGTTTATTATTCTCAATTGATTTCTTGACCTTTCATTCCTTATTAACTAATTTTAATTTATTGTAATGCGATTATATTTTTTTTACTTATATAGTTATTTTTTTAATTTTTTTAATCATGTAAGAATAACTTGCATTTTTATTTTTTTTAAATATGCATAGAAACTTAATGACTCAAAGATAAAAATTAAAATTTATTAATAATATCTTAACAATTTAGGGATAAATAATTTTCTTACATATGAAATAAGTAGGACAAATTGTTGGGAAAAAAAATAATCCATTTATTTCAACTTAAAAAAAGAAAAGAAAAAAGAAATTTAAATAATAAATGCATTAATTAAAATTGATAAATATTTAGTTGTTTATATAGTTTGAAATAAGTTTTATAAATATTGTATTAATTATTAGGGTCTTATATTAAACTATCAGGATTTTAAGTTAAAATATGTATGGATCTTTAATAATATATATGCAAAACTTTAGGGGAGGTGAGTGAATTTTTTTTTATTTAAATAGCTTTTTATATCTTCTTGGTCAATTCAAAGGGGGCAATATGGCCATTTTGGATGGAAAAGTAATAGCCTTTGTGCTAAATTAATGGATTGGAAGAATCTTGATAATAGTTTCAAAAATAATGGAGATTAGTGTAATTATTGAAATAATAAGGAAGATTTTTATAATTGTCAGAAACCTCAGGAGAGGCAACTGTAATTTACCGAAATACTTACAATGATGACTTTTATTTATAAATATATCGCATCATTTTTGTTGTAATTTTTGCATAAATGTTTTGGCATAAACAGATTTTTTTTTCTTTAAATGGAAAACGTGCATAGTATGTATACTTTTTATTTAATAGATATTGTCAACGAACAAAATGACTTCATTGATAATTTAGAATTTTAAAAAACATAGACATTTTATTTTATTTCATAAATTCCTATTGTGCGGGGGTGATTTCCGCACTATGAAGAAGGGTTAAACTTCGTGGATGAACACCGTGCTCCGGGAATTGAAGATCTGCACAGAGTAACAAATGGTGAGGCTGCCCGACCGGGGTTTGGTCGGAAACCCCTCCGATGGTAAAGTCAGGGACTCAGGGAGAGGAAAAAAAGAGAATACAAAGAGTATATGTGTTGAGTGTGTCCATTTTCGGATCCCTTCAGAGTGAATAGTGTTCACCTTTTATAGGAGAAGGTTGTTTGTCGTTCAAGTCCTTCTCTCTCCGCCATCTGTCCAACATGTCTTATTCGTGGTCGTCTCCTATTGGAGGAGGACGACCACTCCGCCTAACACTCGGGTGCAGGTCTGTTTTGTTTGTCCCATTAGCGGACATCTCTCATTGGAAGGGGACGACCACTCCGCCTGCCATTCAGACGCAAGTCTGTCATATATGCTCCTTGTCCCTCTGCACCTCTATGTCTCCACGTTATGTTCATACAAAGGGAGAAGAGCAGAGTTGTTTGTCTCTAGTGGACCCAAGAAAGATCTTCAGTGAATTTGCCTTCTCTAAGTTGGTCTGCTCTAGAACGGTTATCCAACTAGGAGGTCCAACATGTTGCTCAACCCACTTCGGAGTGGTTCTGTCCATCCAGAAGGTCCAATATGTTGCTCAACCCACTTTGGAGTGGTTCTGTCCATCCAGAAGGTCCACCATGTTGCTCGACCCACTTCGGAGTGGTTCTGTCCATCCATAAGGTCCAATATGTTGCTCAACCCACTTCGGAGTGGTTCTGTCCATCCAGAAGGTCCATCATGTTGCTCGGCCCACTTTGGAGTGACGCTCGTACGTTGGGCCGAACTCCTATGATTGTCTTACTTCGGAGCAAGTGTTGGCCATAGAGCCGAGGTCCGACCTAGCTCCACCTTGGAGTGAGTATTGCATTGGGCCTAGCACCAAGACTTGATTAATTTTCACCCACTTCAATTAACTTCCAAAATAACAAACATATGAACCCTTTAAAATAGCATTACTTAACTCACAAGAATTTTAATTGGATGAGAGAGAG